CCTTCCCCTATCGGCCGTCAGAAAGCCTCCCTTCGCCTTCCCCTTTAATTCGGGCTCTGCGCTGCGCTAGGAGCCAGACGGCATCGCGGCTGCAGCTCCCGCCGCTCGCCCCGCAGCCGCGGGAGGAGGTGTCCGCCCGGCGCTGGGGTCCCCATGCACCGGCCCGGGGAAGGCGCCTGGGGGGTCCCCGGGGCCCGGGCAGGCGTGGGGCTGAGCGGGGCCGGAGCGAGCTGGGCTTGATCCCGTGCAGCCTCCGGGCCGGGGGGATGCCCCAGCCGCGGGGAGAGCGGCTGCCCTCGCCCCGCGCTGCCCGCGCCCCCGTGCCCGATGCAGCCGCCGAGCAGCCGGGCTCGGTAGCCAGCCCGCCCCCGGGGGGGAGCAGAGCCGCGGACCCCGCCGCGCCCGAGGATTGTCTTGGCGGCGGGGGCTGAGCTGCGCGCCCGGGAGGGGGCTTCCTCCCCCGGCACCCCGCTCCCGCCCCCGGGGCTGCAGCCGGACCCCCCGGCGCCGGAGCGGACTCGATTCCCCGTGCGGCTCGGCCAGCCCCAGCTGGGGCGGCGGGGGAGCCCGCAACATGCGGCGGCTCCGGAGACTGGTGCATCTGGTGCTCTTCTGCCCGCTCTCCAAGGGCTTGCAGGTGAGGACCCGGGGTGGGGATGGGGGGTGGTGAGGGGGGCGGCTGCCCTGGTGGGGGTACATCCTGCGTCGCCGTAGGCTGCAGGTCGGGGGGGGGGGCGCTGCCTTTGATCCCAAGTTGGAAATAAATAGATACCTACAAAGTTAATTCCATGTCCGGCCTCTCGGATTGATCCCGAACAACCGAGTGCAATTTGGAGAAAGAAATTAAAAAAAAAAGAAAAAAAAAGGAGGGGGGTGGATTTAACCCCCATCTCCCCCATCATTCCCTAAGGGATTCGCATGAGGGGGAAACTTACAGATGGTTAATTTCACCGCACCTTTGCTTTTCTATTGTCAGGGTCCTTGTAGGTCAGGGTGCTGGAGACATAGAGAGAGATGAAAATTGTGGCCGTTTAGTTTTATGTGCATATGACAGATGGATGGACGGGAAGAGTCCAACAAAACCATTCCCTGGGACCAAACGCATTTTCTTCTCCTGCAGAATGCTGGTTTCCTATACCAAACATTAGCCCTGTGAACTGTGAGTCATGGTGGTGGCTTCTTTTTCCATTTCCCCGGAGGATTTTTTATTTTATTTTAATTTGATAAGAGTGACCGGTTCCCTGTAGTTGCTGGACAGGGTCAGTGTGGATGCCACATTTGTAAATCTGTTTCTGACCCTGCTATGAATGAAATCGCAGGTGTGCATGTGATGAAAAAAGCAAATAGATGGATATTCAGCTTCAGCGCCACTGTATTTAGGGTTTGAGCCAAAGCTCATTGAAATCAGCAGGAGTCTTTCCATTGACTCCAAGGGGCATTGGATCAAGCCCTTAATCCACTGGTTTGCAGTGAGATATTTCAACCACTAATGCTCCCCCCCCCACTCTCTAGCTTGATTTTGAAAAGTGATCCTGGATTATTCTACATGGAGTAAATATGGACCAGCACGGCACACCAATTGCATAACGGGAAGTTTAACTGTGAACCTCCTGTTGGGAAGAACCCACATTGCCTCTACATAGCATGAAAGAGCCAGTTAATCAATCAGTCCTTACATAAATAATGGACCGAGCCAATGCAGCAATGTACCAGTCTAGAACGATTACTTTTTTTCTCTGGCATGCCGACCTAACTGGATTCAAAGTCTGGTTCATAGAAGTAGGACTAGGAATGATTATCTCCCAGGAGGTCTTTGGAGTGGCAGGGAATAGAACCTAGCAACAGAACCTGAGGTTCTTACTTAAGGCAAAACTCCCAGGGAATTTCAAGGAAAACGAGCAGGATTTGGGGCTCACTGATTTTTTTTTTTTTTTTGGGTGGGGGCAGATCTGACTCTGGAGAGCAGAAGTTCCTCATCCATGAATGTTCTGCCAGAAAAAGTCACACTGAAGCCACAAGCCAGCAATGATGCTTGTCTTTTCAGGTGGCCATTAGAGCTGAAGGAACAATCTCAGCTGCTCTTACATGTTTGATTAGATGGAAAATGGGCTAATGTGAGGAGGAGATTTCCTATGATCCATTAGGGCTAGTGCTGGGGGAGAAATGGAAAGAATGGCAGAGGAAATGAGAGGAGAATGGCAAGGGGAAAAAAAAGAGAGAGAAATCCAGCAAACCCCAAAAGGTCCAGGGAGCAGTTAAAGAGCAAAGTTCTCAGCTATGGCAGATCTGTTCCTGCAGAATGATGTATTTCCTACTGCCCTCTCTGACTGGCGTGACCACAGTCCTGGCAGCAGAGATCTAATTTGCAGTCCTAGCTCGGCCCTGTGCCAAAGCATGTGGGACAGTCACAATGAGATGGGGACCGCTGCCCAGGAAGGAGCTGAGCTGAAAGCATTCTGGTAGCTCCTTTTAGTCCTGATCTCAGAGGTGAAGGGCCTCTGAGCTGGCCAAGCTCTCTGCGTTCCTTATAATGCTCAATCATGGCATTGACATGGGCAGTGGGGGTGCTGCTGTCCATGAGGAGCAGCGTGGGCTTTACACGCAGGACTTGAAATCAGTCCCTGGCATGGAAAATGGAGTGTCAAACAGCGAGCCCCCACCGACGCGGAACAGAAACAGCCGAGCATGTTAGCCATCCATTTTGGCATCTCTTTACTGCGCTCTGTTCCTCTTGTGCCAACTGTGCAGCTCTGGCAACACTTAGCAGCCTTTTGCACTTGCATTAGGATTAGTGCCGTAGTTCTTTTTCCGAGTACTCGCTGTGTTAACCCTGCAAGGCAAGGTCAGGAGACCAGCCGAGCTGTTTAAGGACCAAATCCAGCTCGACTTCTTTGCATAAGAAGTCTCACTGAAGCCATAAAGGCTTGATTCTCTGTGCTGTGCACCTTGTGTCATCATTTATACTTGGGCAAAGTGAGGGCCAGGCCTCAACCTATCTGCAAGTATCCCCCATCTATCTATCTATCTATCAATCTATCTATCTCCATACACTCCCATATATCTATCTATCTCCATACACACCCTTCTCTCTCTCTCTCTCTCTTCACAACCCTCTATCAAGCCCTGTAAATGTAAACTGCAGTGGTGCTGATTTGCACCAGCTGAGGATTTGGCCCAGGGAGGGCAAAGTGGGGAGTAAAATGCCAGCACCAGCGTGAGTGTCGGATTCTGATTTGATAGCATTTCACGCTCCCTTTGCCCAGGTGCACATGCTGCCGTAAGGTGCCAGGCAGTGGAGAATCCGCCTCTGGGTGTCTGTGTGAAATCAGTGCATTTGGCAGCTGATATGTGCACATTTGATTTTGATCTGCTTCATCAAATTACGAAATCAGAAATGCGATGCCGACAGAAAGGAACTTGATATTCATTGGCTAGAGAACCTCGGTCGGTGAGAGCCTGGTGTGCGCTGAGAATGGTCCTGAACCCAGTGTGTTTGTGAGGCTGTATTTTGCTTTTTAAAAAATTTGCCTGTTATACAGTTTACTCCTTTAATCTAAGAGTCGTGGGAAATCTGATTGACAAGCCCTGAGTTTCTCTCTCTGTTAGCAAGGCCTGGCAGTTGGCAGTAGTAAAGAATCACAGAAAGCCTTTTTCCTCCAACACTGAACTCCATTAGAATAAGGGGAAAACCAGCATTATCCCTAAAGCTACTCTCTGTGTCTCCAGGCTTCAATGGGGAGCTTTTGCTGAGAACCCAGGGCCCATCTTGTCTAGCTTCCTGCAACCGATTTAAAGAAACAGTACACATATACAGGCCATGGGGCAAATTGTTTTGAAGAGAGCCAGAATGACATGGGTGATGAAACCGAGGTTACTCTGGAAGGAGGCGGGTTCGAAAGGCACTGATGCTCTCTGTAGTGAAATAACAGTCAAGCTGCTAGTAAAGCCCAGCGGAGAAGAGAACGGATGTTGCGCATTTTTGCCCCAGTCCCACATCTATCCCGAAAGAGCATCGCCAGAGGGGCGGCTAGGTAGGCATGAGCATGGCTGGCAGGGCATGGAGAGCTGTGGCAAAAGAAAGGAGACAGAGCAGGCTTTGAGCGCTCTGTCTGTTTCGCCTTTGAGGTTAACTCCCGCCAAGTATCTGTGGCACTTCAAACGGGAGGCACTGAAGACCCCTGCTGGCCAGCTGACAGCTTGTTATTCAGCCTACCCACTGTGCCCTGGCCAAAGGAAGGGCAGACGCTAGCTGCTGATGAGATGTAGTTGAACTTAACGAGAGGGTCCGGTGTTACGGTAAAACCCCGTCCGATATTGAGAATAGATTTTTGTGAACTATACATGAAACATACCCCGAATGTATCCGTCCTCCCTGGGATGAAAACTGCCTGCAGAGGGAGCCAGTGGGAGCAGGAAATCTGTCACGCGTTCTCAGGGTTTCAGAGGGGATTGGAACACACCTGTCTGCAGTTCTCTTGTCCTCCCAGCCCCACTCCCTCCCTTTCGTCTGTTCATTCACCTGCAGCGCACTGTGAGCTCCTGGGGCAGGGAAGTGTCTTTGCGTTAGTTGGTAGGGGGCCCTGATCCCTGCCTTTAGGGGTTACCTAATAATTAGTCAAGGAAAGTGACCTTTTAAACACCAGTACAAATTCCTTCTGATTTCCCGGAAAGTGGCCCATAGTTTGCCGAAAACTAAATACCTACAAACAAGCGAACAAACAGATCCCTTCTGGGGCCTAATTCTGTTCTGATTTACACCATAGGAACCTAGAATCACTCAGGGTTTTTCGCTTGGTGGGTGGAGTTACTCATAAAACCAGAAAAAATTAAACCCGAAGGGCCAGATTCTCAGCTGGTGTAAACTGGCAGAATTCAGGGGAGTTATGCTGATTTATGCAAAGTGAAGATCCAGCTCTAAATAACTCTAGACAAATGGGTCCTGTTATTATTTATAGAGAGGGGCCAGTCGCATTGTGGCTGATGCGGTACAAACAGCTCTGGGGTAAATCCAGAGTAACGCCGAGATTTTTAGCTCAGTGGATTTATTCTGGATCCCACTGGTTTAACTGAGAGCAGAAGTAACCCTGACGTTGGAAACTCTAATACCGATCGTCTCAGCTCTGACGTGCACCACTTGGAGGAGGATTTCCTCTTGCAATTCACTGGGAAGGCAAAAAAGTGAAATAAAAGGAGCAGGAGACCATGGCACTGGGAGCTGCAATAGAGATGTCTGTCTTCTAGGACCATGCTAGGAAGGTCAGGGGTCTGATTTCCCTTCATTTCATGTGAAATACACGGGCACTCTGCATCACTCAGGGCAAGAGTGGGTTGCTTACACCTGGTCAGTTATTCAATGGCTTGGAAAAAACTAACTCAGCGGATGAAGGCTGGACTATGCCACTCATAGCAGCTCAAGATGGAAAAGGCCCATTCGATTATCTAGTCCATCCCTACAGTGTAGCTTGGAATACATTGTCTAGGCAAGTTTTACATATCTTAAGAAATGGCATTTCCAATACCCACCTTGGGAGAGCACATAGTTGACTGGACCATCATTGGGCTGATGGTTGAGCTGTTAGGATATGTAACTTCCTTTGAAAACGGAGATAGGATAACATGAGTGCAGCCTCTCATCTC